ATAATGGCTCCCACTGATATGGTATCTCTCATCCTGCTCTCTTCTATTCTTCCCCCAACTCAACATTTCTGCTCCTCCATTTCCTCCTCTCCCCTCCTGTTCTCCTCACATTATGCTAGCTCCCTCTCCCCTAGCCTCATGCTCCCAATTAGCTTAGGAGATCCTGGCCCTTCCCATTCCCCGGGGACCATGCATTTTTCTCTTAGAGTCCTTCTTGTTTCCTAGTTCCTTTGGTGAAGAGGATTGTAGGCTGGTAATCCTTTGCTCTATGTCTAAAATTCATATATGAGTGAGTACATACCATGTTGGTCTTTTTGCAGCTGGGTTACCTCACTCAGGATGGTTTCTTCTAGTTCCATCCATTTGTCTGCAAATTTCAAGATTTTAGCTTTTTTTCTGCTGAGTAGTACTCCATTGTGTAAATGTACCACATTTTCTCTATCCATTCTTCAGTTGGGGGGCATCTAGGTTGCTTCCAGGTTCTGGCTATTACAAGCAATGCTGCTATGAACATGGTTGAACATATGTCCTTGTTGTATGAACATCACCTGCTCAGTTTTAAGTGTTTTGATGCACATTATTATTTAGTCCTAAAAATCCTATGAGATAGGCATTAACATTATCTAGTTTTAAAGATGGGGACAGTGGGTGGAACAAAGAGGAATTGCCCGTTGATTGTAAGTGATGAGTCTGAGATTCTATCCAGGGCAGTATGTCTCCAGAATGCCGTTGATTTTTAGCTGTAATCAAACACTTAGTAAGCCATCCTGTCTGGCACTTTCATAGAGGTCCTTCCAGTTTGCTTGGGACTTGAATTTTCCTGAAAAACTTTCACATATGAGTTATCTAAAAGATTGAGCACACACTGTGGGGAAGATGGGAAGCAGACTTGTCTTTATTTCCAAGTGTCCAGCTTTGGTTCTTTTTTTTTTTTTAAATATTAATCTCTGGTTCTTGCCGAATAGTCAAAGGCCAGAAGTATTGCCCCTCAAGGACATAGCAATAGGAGAGAAGGAGGTGATTGGTGGGAAAAGACCTAGTTCTCATGCCCAAAAGGTTTGTGACATTGATTGCCATATTAGCATGACAAATCAGGAGCCTACTCTTTTTGTCCTTCTTTCCCTTTCCATATACTTCCCCAAGGCTGCCTATTTATCTAAAATTAACTAGAGTAAGACTTTCTCTTTGACAGTATCTTGGGTACATTTTCCCCAAGTAATTTGCCATAGATATCTTAGGGATGTCCCACTTTCCCTTCATATAGAAATTTCTTGCAGCTTGGTATTTTCCTAGAGTCATGCAGTAGACTTAGAAGCTATACTTACTTCGGAACCTCTGGTTGTGAGGACTGTGCATCAGTATTTTAATAAATATCCTTAAACTATTCCGTTGTACAAAAATAGTCCCGTGAATTATGGACAGCCCCACCCTACCTTCCTCACTTTACATATTTGGCCTCCATCATGCTCCTGAAACCCTGTGTGTGTGTGTGTGTGTGTGTGTGTGTGTGTGTGTGTGTGTGTGTGTGAGCATGTGCATGTGCACATGTGCACACATGCATGTGGGGTAATACGAAGAGATTACATGTTGATTAATCTTATTTTTATAATTCCCAGGTAGAGACCATTGGGGATGCCTACATGGTGGCCTCAGGCCTCCCAAAGAGGAATGGCAGTAGGCATGCTGCTGAGATTGCCAACATGTCCCTGGATATCTTGAGCTCTGTGGGCACCTTTAAGATGCGACACATGCCAGAAGTGCCAGTCCGAATTCGAATAGGCCTGCACTCAGGTAATGGAAGCTAGTGAAAGAAAGAGAAACCATTTCCATGTGCCTCATAGAGGACTTAGAACAGGAAGAAGAATATGTAAATGTCCTCTGATTCTGGACAGCTGGATTACCCTGGTATCCAGCAATGCTTCATCTCTTTCTGCCTGGACAGTTTCCCTTCTTTCCCCCACCTATACCACTGCAGTGGGTAGCAACCCCTGTCCGACAGCCTACCCTTCTCATTTTATGCCACCTTGTCTACATTTACAATGCTACAAGGTTGCCAAGTGTTTGTGATGTTTAGGATAATGCGATCAGTTAATCAAAAGCATTTTCCTCCTGGACTCTTCCCCTTTCAAATAAATGACTTCAAGCCCCTCCCTCCAATATTTTTTTTCCACTTAACTACTACATGTATGCTGGTGACTGTAGACAATTTATTTATCTATTTTATAAACACCTTTTTAGAACTTAAAATGTAGTTACATCACTTCCCTTTAACACTATAGCTACAGGACAATCTTTTCCCTTAAGCTTCACCTATGTGTGTCAGGCTTCCTGATGACATTTCCACCTGAGTGTTTCACTTTGTCCTCAGATTCAAAATGTCCAAAAATGAATTATTTTCTTCCCATACAAATGTCCTTCTCTCCCGAGTTTTTAATTTCATTTAGTGTCTCTGTCAATGACCTGATTATCATCTTAGAAGTCATCCTGGGTTCCTCTCTCCCTCTGACCTTCAATATTCAACCAACTACTAGTTGTTTTCTTTTATTGTGCATGTGTTTATGCTACAGTGCTTGTAGCATACAGTGAAAGTCAGAGGACGATTTACAGTACTTGGTTCTTTCCTTCTACCATGTTGGTTTTGGAACAAAAACTCAGATTGTCAAGCTTGGTGGTGAGTGCTTTTATCTTTTCAGCCATCTCACCAGCCCCAACTGCTAGTTTTTCAACTTTTTGACCTTTTAAATATTTCTCGAGACTGTCTGTGTCTTTTGGACAATCACTACTCAAGTCCAGGCCACCAGCATCTCCTTCCTGGATCAATCATTGTGATATCATTTTGCTTCCATGCTTGCCTCTCTCTATTCATCCCTCCCCAAACCATCAGCATACTGCATGTTGTCTTGTCTGTACTTCCATTAGACTTTAAGCTCTTTGGCAGCAGGAGCCATACATATTTTATTCATATTTTTTTGCATTGAATTTAGCAGCGGCTCACTCTTTCTCTAAAGGAAATCCCTCTGCTCTCATTTGTGCTCCAGTGTCATGGCTGCAACTCCCTAAGCATACCTCAGTTTGGGTGGTTCCTAATTATTTCCAATAGAACATATTTAAAATTTCAAACTGTCTTTTCCAATGAATGAGCACAGTCTTAGAGCCCCATGCCAATTTAGTCATGGTTATCTATCAGGCAGCCAACAAGTCTGTTGGTTCTCTTTTCATAATGTCTGTATTTAGGTCCTCACTTTGGCTGCCTACTTTCCACTATCATCTCATTTCCAATGCCCTATGTTTGATTTTACCACACCAGATGCTTAACATCGTTTCTATAGGGTTATCCACTGCCCCTTCAATGAATTCAATACACTGTCCAGAGGAGAAAAAAAGACCAAGAATATTCTTCTTATAATATTTGCTCAAGATTCTCTAGTGGGCTAAGGACTATTTTGTACAATTCAGTTAACCCAAAATATTTATAATCTCTCCCCAGATGCCTGAGCTGGTAGAATGCTCTCTCTATGAACTTCCCAAAAGTCTGTGTATGCTGAAACCCCAGACACCTTTGAGTTGTCTCTTTTCCCTGTAACTGAATCCCACTCACCTTCCAAGAGTCTGGAAAACCTTTGCCCACAGGAACCTTCTTCCTTGTAACTCCTCATTTTCTAAACTACTCCAGTTCTTCTGTCTATACAGTTTGCTTGGCCTCAGCCACATTGCTTGCTTTTCTCCTACTTGGTAGTCTCTTCTCTTCATTTAGATGTGAATATCTGGTATAATTTAGACCATATATTATTTCTTTGTGAGTCCCATATAGTGCCTTCCATGGTACCCAAGTAGATGCTACTGAAAAAGAAAGAGTGAATTAAAATAAAAAAATACAGTTTTAGTTCTGGTTTGCTCTTATTTACAGCAGAAAGAACCTTTGGAAAAAAACAATGTGTTTAACTCAGGAAACAGCAAAAATATAATGCTGAAAATTTAAATATAGAAAAAGCAAAAATCAGAAAGGTAAGGATGGGAGGCTTTCAATAGACTGTTGAGCTAATTTTTCCTTCTGCCTGCTGAAGTGTTTTTTTTCCTCCAGTTATCTTGAACATGTAACACTGCCATAATAGTGTAAGAACAAAAATTCCTGCAAGGACAAATGGGAAATAATTTTAGATTATCTCTACACACTGTTTTCCCACACTACTAGCACAGATAATGGAAAGTCAGATCTACTTGCTTACACATTTTTGGATTGTCTGAGCAATAATTCTCTTTGTAGACACAGTTGGGATATAGACTTCCAACCCTAAGGCACAAGAAACAGTCACATTTTCCCCTTGCAACAAACCACTTTGAATTCTTGATCAGGCTTTTCTGGTTTGATTTTGATGTTTATTTGTTGTTGACAGATACTAGCATTTTGAGTAGAACTGTTGCTAGAATAAAGATATAAATCAGAAAGGTGGTCATTTCTGTAGCGTGGTAAATTTGTTTTCTTGTAGATCAGAGTTCATTATTCAACCATCAGTCTTCCTTTAGATTTCTAGATCCATTTGATGGCAACTTTGGTTCTTCTACAAAACCACCCCTGCCCTGCTTGCATGTCTCTGCTAGTAGCACTGAGTACACACCTGTTGACTCCAGCCCTACTCTCCTGCTGTTCAATAGGGCCTGTTGTTGCTGGAGTGGTGGGCCTCACCATGCCCAGATACTGCTTGTTTGGAGACACTGTGAACACAGCTTCTCGAATGGAATCAACAGGGCTACGTGAGTATCTGTAGATTGATGTGGTGGGGCCATCTTATGATTGGGAAAGTGATTCTTTAAGGGGGGAAGGAAATGGGGTACTCAGTGTTTTATTGTTTTAAAGAAAAGGGAAAGATAATTCAAGATGGTTAAGACTTATCACACATTTCTCTAGTCTCTAATAGCAAACCAGTAGGGGGTGATGTTGGACTGAACATGCCCCCATCTTGTTCCAGAAATAAAGCCGTAGCTAAGTGACATTGAAGCAGCCAGTCAATTTGATCAAAACAACTTAAAAAGTCTTTTGGGCAAAAGAAAGAAATTGGGCCAGCCTGGTAGGTGTGAAGGAGTCATGTAGAGAAAAGAACTAGGTAAGAGACTGACATTTTCAGTTCTCAACTAGTTTGTGAAGGCACCTGAGCCAGCTGCCTCCCAGCTGGCTGCTGCTGGCTGCTGCTCCAGTCCAATTTTTCAACTAGTTAGGACCTCAGGAGTTCCTGGCTTTATCAAATAAGCCTGTAAAACTTAGCTAGTTGTAATCCTTCAATCTAAGGAGCTTGGAATTCCAAAATAATTAATTCCAACTTACCTGCATGTAAAACCTTTACTTCCTTCAAAATGGCCATAGTAACAAAGATTCTACTTCTTCCTTTCTTTGCTAATAAGACTGTGCAAATGATTCTGCCATTGTTTGTTGTGGACAAGATGTTTTATCAATCCTTTCTTGGTTACTCATTGCCTCTACTGAGGTAGGGTCAGCACCACCATTGCCTTTTTGTTTATATCCTGGTTAAGTAAAGCAAATGCTATTAGAAGGAAAACATACAGAACAGCATTAAACCCTACATTCAGTTTTCATTTAAGTGAAAGAAACAAATCATTTAAACCTTCAATAGCCCTGGCCCTGGCAACAACTAGCTAGGCCAGACAAGCTCTTCCTCAACTTCAGTAACATACTTAAATGAGCCCCTGATGATTTGGTGGCCTGTAGCACAGCAGGTGCCCTGTGTGACCCTACTCTGCATCACTCCTGTACCGGTTTGTACAATGGGTCCAGTCTTAGCTTATCTAGTGGTGCAGCCATGATTAAGAGACAGCATAGAACTTAGAAAGCTTTAGCAAAATAAATTTCCTGGCATCTGAGAAAGTCTTTAAAACCCCAAAGATACGGCAGAAGCCATGGAAATATTCATCCAAGAACCACCATGTGAATATAACTTTGCATATGACTTTGCACTTGAAGTGCAACCCAAGATGGAGTAACTGCAATGCAGATTTGGCACAATGCGTAGGACTGATGTAAGCTCATAGAAGGCTGAAGTCATATTCTGGTATGCACTAGGGAAGACTCTACACATTTCACTTTGGAAATAGAGAGCTGAGAGCAAAAATTGAATTCTGAGATTTAGGTAGCAAATCATCCCCAATGAGGGTTTAGTAATCCCGGGGTTTGCAAGGAAGGCATTGTGTGGGATACAAAGAAGCATGCTCAGGTGACCTCTGTGCTCCTGAACCGGGTTACTGTGCTTTTCTAAAGTCTATGAACCGAATATGGCAGTAACCCTGCCACTGAGTATAGGTCTGAGAAGAGATAGCTCCCTACCTCATGTTTGATGTGACACTAGGGCGTGTAACAAGCTTCTTAATAAAAAATCAATTTCATCAATATCTCCTTCACATCCAGTTAAATAGACTGGGATTCTTGAATGGGAGTGATTAGGGACTTAAGAGTGGTCCTCCTTATCACATAGTTACACAGTGGTTAGAATTAATGGCCTTTTGAGCTATATGCCCCCCCCCAAGCAGACTTCCTGAAGATCAGATGCTAGTGTGATGGCACCTAATGGAATGAATACATTTGTCAGGGATGTGGCTTTTAGGAACAGGATAACTTTTTCTGAGCAGAGGTTTTTGGATGAATGTGACTCACTGAGAAAGACAAACAATGGTACTGAGCTATTAAGAAAAGGAAAGTCACTATGAATATACATGATAAAAATGTCTGTTCTTTTCAGCCAGGCCTTCCTAGTCAGGTCGTAAGCAGTCTCTAGATGGATAGCTTCTATGAGTACATATGAGAGCAGATCTTGGACTTTTACTTAAGACTCAGTCTCAGCAAGGTGTCAGGTCATGTAGTAACAGTTGTCAGGAAGCTCAGGGAACTTGTCTCAGGGGACAAGTAGTTGGTCTTTAGTATAAAGAATTACAATTGGATCCTAGATCTAGTTCCCCAATGTAAAGCTCCTGTCGCATGTTGGAATCCAAGACTAGAAAAGAATATATTTACATTTACATCTGGAAGCACTCACTGCCCATGGAGGGTTAGTAATGTCTGATGCCCACAAAATATTGATTGACAGAAGTCTTGGGCTATTTCTCATTGATATTTTAAATATGATAGTACTAAGAGATGGCTGTTAATTGTACCCATTTTGGAAAAGACATCTTTTAATCTAAAGGAGGATTGTACAGGTCTGGATAATTTAGCCTTAATAACAGCTGGTGTAACAAGCTGCTAAAGTTACACTTCCCTTGGAGGAAGTTAAAATGTAGCTGAGAGCACAATGGTGCTTCCTGTTTCTCCAGTCTCAACCTTTGAGTTAAATTGACTCCTTGCTGTTGCATGACCTTTCATCTGAGACAGTGTTTTGGAGGCTGACAGATGCTATTGCTAATGCCCTCTTTGGGCCTGATGAGGTCATCACTCCTCCTTTTACTCAAGTAGGGCTAAAGTGTTATCTATCTATCTATCTATCTATCTATCTATCTATCTATCTATCTATCTATCTATCTCTTTATCTGTATCTATCTATGATCTATCTACCTATCATGTCTATCTCTGGACTTTTCTGAGAGCATTGTATACTCTAAAGTGGGGACATTCATTACATTGTTAATGTCTCATTGATTTTGCCAATGAGAAAGGAGGCAAAGTGATGCTTCCCCTTTTTTTTCAGCATACCGAATTCATGTCAGCCTCAGCACGGTAACAATTCTTCAAACTCTGAGTGAAGGCTATGAAGTAGAGCTTCGTGGAAGAACAGAGCTCAAGGTATAATGACCTTTTGTTTGGGGGAACCAAACCATTTGGACACACCTGCGTCTCAAGAGGTCACGGTCTGTTGCAAAAGCTCACTCGGAGCTGTCTGAGACATGGAGCTGCAAGTTGGGCAGATTCTCGAGTTCAATTTAAGGTTTTCTTGTACTTCATCTTTTTTTTTGTTTTTTTTTTGAAATAGTAACCTTAAACAGGGTGTGAGAGAATTGAAAATTCTGTTTTTTTCAGACTGCAAGTTCTATCTTCCTGTTTAAAAGAACTGTCCAGAATTTGGTTTACTAATGAGTCATACCATTATTTTGATTGTCTAATTTCTATTTTATTTACTCTTTGGCACTGCGGTATATAGCCACGGCATTGCTGAATTCAGATTTTCTTTTAGCCCACCCAGTGTCTACCCCTTCAGACTTAGTCACACCATCGGCCCGTTATATAGACAGGTGTTTCTCCAAGGCCAGGGGGCACTGGGAGGATGGAGATGGGGAGAGTCTGTTTCTATGAAAGACAAACATTTAAGAACATTTTTCCTGTCTGTTGAGGCTATTATTTGAATGGGAATTTGGCATTAAGACACTCCAATCTCTCTTGAAATTTCCACTGGATTTTCCTCCTCTCTTTCTAGTCTTGTGGCACTAAGTGTAGGAGACTCCAGGAATCTGATCTGGTACTCTAACTTGCTAGTTTTCAGAAAAAGAATCAAGACCTAGACAGGTGAAACATTTTGACAGGGTCATAGTCATTTTCCTGCAGAATCAGGCCACATCTCAATAAGCCTAATTTGCTTCCATGACACCACGGTGTGTCAAAATGATTTTTAAGTGATTATTCATGAGTAAAAGCAAAAGATGGGCAGTAAGAGTGTTGCATTTGTTTCTGTCATTGGCATGGTTTCCCTGAATGGTGGTGGTGATTTCTGTGTAATTTGGCTTTAAGAGTTAGAGATTTCAAGGCCTAACTCTGGTTGATCATCTCTTTCTCTATCCATGGTTGTTCAGCTCTTCCAATAGATCTTTAATATCTTCTGGAAGGTAGGATGACTCACTTACAAGGGGACAGAGCCTTTTCATCACTTCTGCAGAGAACTCACATGATGGGGTAGGGTTATTACTTGGGCACAAATCGGATCGCTCAAGGCTTTTGTGATTCTCCTGTACATTCTGTCATTTCCCAGCAGCGAGGGACAAAGGCTGAAGCACTTTCCTCATATTGCTGGGTACAGACATTTCACCTAAAAGGACTGAAGAGCTCTTACTTTTGAAACCGAAAAGGAGAAAAATTGGCCCTAGTCCTGTTTTTTCCTTCTGCCCTACAGATTGCAGACAGGAACAGTTGCATCTTTAGCAGTTTCAAGTACACAGATGAGAAATGAGGCTTAACTTCCAAACAGCCTTTTGCAACCCAAATATGCATTCCCTTATCCCAGGGAATTTTGGAAGGTGTTATAGCATGTACAAGGAAGGTCCGTTTTTAAAATGCCTTTCTGAGCCTTGGTTTTATGGTGGCAAGGAGCCTCACAAGGAAGAGACATTAAGAGTGTGGAGTTGAGAGTAAAGAGGAAAAAGCACTAACTGAGGAAAGGAAGGAATATTGAAAGGAAAGAAGAGGAGACACAAAGAGAAGGGGGAATATAAGAAAGGCTTTTTTGTTTGTTTGTTCTGCCTCCTTCCCACAAGAGGCAGAAATTACACATTGTACAGAAGGAGTTGGGCAAAGGAGGTTTCTACTGCATTGGAGACAGGTAATGTATGCCTAATCTGACATATCACATAGCTATTACATTTCAGAATGTCTTAATTCAAGATTTTCACTCTTCATCCACTCTTCTGCTGCAAGCAAAAGTTGCCTGGTACTTGGGAGCAGAAGAAGCACATGTGCTGACCAGCCAGCTGTGATTTCCAAGATGATGGCTCCAAACATGGTTTCCTTTCAGCTGACTGATGCTTGAAATCCCTCCAGTAAAGCCTCTTTTCTTGAGCTCCACCTTTGGATCCAGAAGCCAATGTTCTTCCTTTACTCATTTCCTTCACTGACGTGATTTTTTTCTATGTGATTTCCCTTAGTGGAATCCAAGCAGTGGCTTTGATTGGGCAAGAGAATAGAATGTCATAATTACATCGGGGACTCATAGTGATTGGGTGGGTATAAAAATGAGGAAGCTGAGGTAGGTTGGGAAAGGAAACATTTAGAGATGACAAGTTTGGTGGATCAGAAGAGCCACTTCCACTTCCCCTTCCTGCTGCAGTATGGCAACAAGTTTACCAATTCCTACCAAGCCAGTTCTATTTTTTCCCTCAATAGTTCTCTCCTTGTGGCTTTATAAAACTCTAGGCCATTTTTGTTTGTCCTCCTTCCCTCATCTGAATTTACTTAGGTCAATGTTCTCACAACAAATTTGGAGCTTGTTGCTGAAATTTTGTATATATTGTAGCAAATCAGTTCCATTTCTTAGAGATTTTTTTATAGGAACTTGCATTCTGAAAAGACTTCCCTAAACTATTGTTCTCAGCAAATGTATGTTTTCATTGCTAGAGGTGGGTGCTTTCAGACTTTGTCTCTAATTTCTGGATGTAAGTAGTATTTGGCACTCTGTTATATAAATAATAGCACTGTTTTGCAATGTTTCATCTCCAGTTTCTTTTACTTCTTCTCTGAACACATAATGTGCGCGCATGCACGCACGCACGCACGCACGCACGCAGACGCAGATGAACTATGAAATGAGGATTTATAAAGGTCTGTTCTCTAATTATTGCATGTCGTCAGGCAAGCTACTCCATCTCTGTGTTTCTGTTTATCTACATAGTGGTGTGCTCTTACCTAAGATTACCAGGAAGCTCATTCGTCTCACAACCTTTAAGATCCTAAGAATTGTCTTTTGGCCTCTACATATACTCTGTGACTCCAATATTTTGGATAAACCATGTAGTGTGGAGGGAAAAGGCATTGGCAATTTGCAGTCTGGTATACTTGAGTTCAAGTCTGTTATGCTTGCTTATTAATGAGCCATTTAATGTCATGGACCTCAGTGATCCAATGGGTAGAATGAGACTGATAATAAAAACACCTTCAAGAACTTCTGTAAAGAATAAATAAGACAGGAGATGTCAAAGCATCTTAAAAGTGTCAAGCCAAGCAAGATGCTATTATTTGACATGCATGCGGTGGTGGTGGTGGGGTGGAAATTCTCTGGGACTTCCTAGGGATTGATAATGGGAGCATTTGCTTCTGGCTTTGGTTGTTGCCCTACTTGTTTTCCCTCTTTCTCTGTCTTCACAATAGTGGAAACTGGTATTTAAACAGGGAACCAGGATTCCAAGAATCTGCTTGGATGAGCTCCAAAACATCAGGGAACCCCTGGAGCTCCTTTGCATATGCTTTGATTTGGAACCTTGCCTGAGCCTATAACGCTGTCATCTTCTTTTGCAAGCATTAGTTTGGGCATTCCAAAGTGTCCCCTGACCCACCCAAATCTCTTCATAATCTTGGCATTCACAAAGTTTATCTGGAAATTAACGTGCTGTCCTAGTGGCCTGTAGATCTCAAGAGAGACAGTTAAATATGGCGAAGGGCTGTATTCTCGAGTTTGAGTTTTAACAGTATGAACGTTATAAGAATTCTAAGTACTTGAAAGTTAGGAATTGCAGTTAATGGAACTGTCTGATCATTTACTAAGCAACTGTTCTGTAAGACATTTCACTGATTACAGTGACGAAAAGGGAAGTAGACAAATAGTGCCTAATGTTTAAGAAAAGGTGGCCTGGTAGTTGTTTTTTGTTAACCATTCTGTGAGATGCTTAAGGAGAGAACCATTTTTTTTAATTAAAAACTGTGGTATAGGGAGGATATAGCAAATAAAAGAATAAGTGATATAGTATATTCTGGTCTTTATTTTTCCTCTCCAGAAAACAGAGTAGCACTAAACAGTCCTACTATGTGAAAGTGAGTTAGTTACCTGGTTGTCAGTTAATGAAAGTTGGACTTTGTAGTATTCTTTTTCTACTTGTCTCACAGAGGGTTTGTTTGAACCAAATATTTGCAAACTACTTGGAGACTCGTTAATTATATATGCTAATTTGTATATGGCTATTGTCATCATTATATATTTTTATTTTAAAATTATTTCTCATTTTATATACCAACCACAGTTCCCCCTCCCTCCCCTTCTTCCCATGTCCCATCTTTCCCCTTCCTCCCATCCACTCTTCAGACAGGGTAAAACCTTCCTTGGGGAGTCAATAAAGTCTGGCATACCAAGTGAAGGAAGGACCAAATCCCTCCCCCCTGTATCATGGCTGAGAATGGTATCCCACCATAGGGAATGGGTTCCAAAAAGCCAGTTCATGCACCTGGTATAGGTCCTGGTGCCACTGAAGCCCCCCAATAGATCAAGTCACATAACTGTCACCCACATTCAGAGTGTCTAGTTTGGTCCTATGTAGATTTTCCAGCTGTCAGTCCATAGTCTGTGAGCTCCCACTAGCTCAGCTCAGCGGTCTCTGTGGTTTTCCCCATCACGGTCTTGAACTCCCTTGTTCATATGATTCCTCCTCCCTCCTCCCTCCCATCAACTGAACTGCAAGAGCTCAGCCCAGTGCTTGGCTGTGGGTTATTTCATCTGCTTCCATCAGTTACTGGATGTAGGTTCTATGATGACATTTATGATAATCGCCAATCTGATTACAGAAGAAGGCCCGTTCAGACACCCTCTCCACTATTGCTAGGAGTATTAGCTGGGGTCATCCTTATGGATTCCTGAAAATTATTGTCATTATTGTTAAGGATGGAATATATGTGTATTTCTGTCTAAATAAACACTTTGTGGAGGAAATGAGAAAACAGGCAAAAGATAATTGAAAGGTGGAGAAACAAGCACACGAGGAGAAAGGATAGCAGGAGGTGATTCAGGGTCATCAGAGAGATAGTCTGGTGGTGACTGGCATGAATTTATGATCTTTCTCTTCTAAGGCCTGTGGATTTTTTCTTTTGATCAGGGTCTCACTATGTAGCCTTGGCTGTCCTGGAACTCACTCCATATATCAAGCTGGCCTCAAACTCAGAGATCTGCCTGCCTCTGCCTCCCAAGTGCTGGGATTAAAGGCATGTGCTGCCACTGCCTGTCAACCTGTGATTCTTGACAGTCAGGCAATTTGCCTATAAGTGGGGGTGCCCTTGGGGTCTTACTCTAAACAGAGGAATCCCTTATCAGAAAGAAATTATGCTGCAGAAATATAGACTTCTCACAGCAACCAAGACACCCTGGGCTTGAAAGCAAAATTGGAAATGACATTTACATTATCTTCTGGGTTTTTATACAAGTTGTTGGATCGTAGAGCACAGGGGAATGTAGACTCTGCATGTATGCACTCTAGAAGGAAAAGACAGTGGCTTGCTTAATGCCAAAAGATTGGGGCCAAAATAATAAACAGTACCTTCAGTTGACCATCCAGATGTGTGATTGCTTTGAAGTAAAAGGTCCACATGTTGCTCAAGATGGGGCTGCTAGTGGTGAGTACACTGAATGTCTGAATGACAACTCAGCTTAATATGGTATTCACTTTGAATCTGGAGCTTGTCTTGCCTCAGGTACATATGGTGAGGAAGCCATATAGAAAAATAGGTACAAGGAATGTTGACACTGGGAGAATGGTGACTATTTCTCAGCTGAAATGAATGCTTGTACCCTACTTACCTAAAGATGTTTTTAGAAAAATCGGCTCTTATGTGGTTAAGATTTTCTGTATTTTCAATAAGGGCAAAGGAACAGAGGAGACCTTCTGGCTCATTGGAAAAAAAGGTTTCACCAAACCTCTCCCTGTACCTCCTCCAGTGGGCAAAGATGGGTAAGTGGATTTCAGACTTAATCATGTAATAAGTTTTCCTATGCCCCAATCTGGCATACTCACTTTATACCTATTTTGGTGTCTCCTGACCTGCAGGCAAGTGGGCCATGGCTTGCAACCAGCAGAGATTGCAGCATTCCAAAGAAAAAAAGCAGAAAGGCAGTTGGTACGAAACAAGCCGTAAGGTAATGAAGTGGGAAAACAGGGCACAAAAGCTTGCCAGATTTCCCAAGCTGGGGCTCCTTTTGGCATGTGTGCCAGTCCTAGACCTTATTCTTTTGGCAGAAGGCAGTGTAACTGGTGAACTTCCAAGCTCCACTGAGTTGGGCAAAAAACCTTATCGTGGGGAGGTCTGCTGCAGAGTGAATTATACTTGAGGGCTATTGCCTGCCATGGCCTTAGAGCCCTTTGTCTTCTACATTGCTCACATGGCTAAATGCTAACAACTATGGCCTTTTTAAACAGTTACCAAGCGGGTGCACCTGACTCTTGTTGTTGAGCACCTGAACCATATGGTTAGTCACTGCAGGCCTGCAGAGATTTACATCTATCTAGGCAATACAGAAATATCCTTGGTTTCATGGGATACATTGCTATGTTGAAGGGGACACTTATGTCACTTCCTCTGGAGGTACTGTTTGATCTTTTCCATGAGGGGAATCGATAAGCAAATAAGATTATCTATCCTTTGGCTTGGACTCAGGATAAGTCTCATTCCCCTTTCCCTGCTAAGGTGAGTTGGCTTTGTAGGAACACCAGCAAAATAATTATGACCACATAATTATATCTGAGGGGCCTACTGCTTTCTTATATTCCTTTCAGTGTCTTTTGTTTTATTGTTTCTGTGTATGTGTTTATGTGCATGTGTACAGGTACAAATGCACACATATGTATGTGGAGGCCAGCTGTTGATGGCTGATGTTGGCTGTCTTCATCACTTGTTCTTCACTTTCTATTTTGTGACAGGGTTTCTCACTGAGCCTGGAGCTTGACAATTCAGCTAGATTTGCTGGCCAGCAAGCACCAGGCATTTCCTGCCTCTGCTTTCCCCCAGTTGTAATTACTGGTGCATACCACTGCACTTGGCTTCTTACAGGAGCCCTAGAGACCTGAACTCATATCTTCCTGCTTGAATGGAAAGCACTTTACTGACTGAGCCACTGCCTCCACTCTGTCCTTTCTGTATTTTGACTTCTTATTCTCTCTTCCATGGAAAGAAACATTGGCGTTAAAGTCCATTTCCCTCTCTGCGTATCTTTAGGAATTCTCAAAAGTCTACAGATAGCAGAAGATCCTAAGAAAAACAGTAGAGTACCTCTGTACACTCTTGTTCTCTTGTTTTCTAGCATGGTTCAGAATAGTCACAATTCTAGCAAAATCTACAAGAGGCAACCACATAACACCTATTCTCATGCTAGCTTCTGGACTTCGTCAACTGTCTGTGAGTGTTTCTGTCATAAGAAAGCCACACTGTATCTTCATTTTTGCAACAATCACAAGTACTATGCTCTAGTCAAAATGTTCTCTTTCACAAGCAGCTGCTCTTGGCCTTTCAGTACCACCTCCTGGTTCGCTGCCACCTGTGGTCTGGCTTTGTTCTTTCCTGCTGACCAACATAAGCAGATAAGCAGCTGGGACACACAGTCATCCAACCCCTGAAACATTCTTTCCTATGCGTAGGGAAACAAGGTACCACCAGTCACAGATTCCATCTCTCCCACCCTCTCTTACTTTTTCTCTGACCCCCAATCCTTCCGCCTTGCCCCCCCTCACTGAAGGAAGTAGCCTTGAAGCTCCTGAAAGCCCCCCCCCCATAAGAGTGGTGCAGACATAGAAGGAATTGTAGAAGAACCCATCTATTCCTAAAAATCTGTTGGATTTTGCTGCAGAATATAGTATAGTTGATTTGCCATCATTGATGTGTGCGTGGTGATGCTGTTTTGGCCTTAGATGTAGCTTAGGTTGTATACAAAACTTACTCATCTGAACCCTTGGCAGCTAGCTAGGACTGTGGCTATATGACACATTGGAACCATTGGCCCGAGAGGGGGTTCAACTTCTGATCCTGGCTTCATTTGTATTTGTGCTTTAATTATAACATTAATTGACCATTCTGACCTTAGTGGCCTGTGGAAACCACCAAGTCTCTAGAAAGAGCAGTATCCTTGGCAAATTTCAGAAAGTTTAACCTAAAGCCAAGAATTCCCATTTATTTCTCATTAAATGCCCTGTATTAATGCCAACCAAATAGGCCACTTACTCCACGTTTGCAAATTTCTGTGAATTTACAGGCATATTCTTACTGAAATAGACCATACAAAAGACCCATAATATCTATGAATGTTCTGACCTGCTGCCAACATCATTGGCACTATTGAGGGAAAACAAACTTTTACCAAGCTCTGTGTGATTAGTCAGACACATAAGAAAGAGAGATGTTATGAAAGAGGGCACAGCTTTGACGGATTGGTTACAGGGCTGCCTGATTGGCAGGGCCACATTGTTGATCCAGTACCTTTTATCTTGTATCCCTAAATACTCCTGACTTTCCCAAACCTGCTTTTTCACTTCACCTCCTTACAGTTCCTAAGTTTCACTAACTGTGGTGAGTTTCAGACTGAAAAGCTACTTCTTTTACTCATTGATGTGTCTTTTGCAGAGTAAAAAGCAATTAATCGCTTTTTTCATAATGAAGATGAATTGAACTCTATGTTTAGGAGGATCTGGCAGTTTCATTTTGATAGGGACAGGGAGAATTATGGAATTTGGCAGTTTTGATGAATGGAGTCACAGAGGCAGGTATGGGAGAACAAGAGTACAATGGATCCTTGGGAGATGGGCTAAATGTCTATGAAGATGGGAAAATCAGTTTACATTCCACCTTTTTACAACCTTTTCCTTGAGGGTAATTTAGACGTAAAGAGTGAGAGAAAGTCTTCCTAGCCTTCTGCTTTCAGAAGAGTTAGATACATGTGGGTTCCACCAGCCTTTTCGGGATATGGAGGAAAGCATTTCATATTTCACGTAGTCAAATTATTCATTAACAAATAAAAACTTTCTGTGTATTTGTTTTCCTCTCTTGTCCAATATTTGTGAAAAGTAAATCCTGTATTCATGCAAGCTGACAGATGCAGTGATGTTTATTCGTTTGAGGATTCAGGAAAGTTTAGCAATTTACATCTCATTTATAGGATAGAGGTTGTATGTGGTTGGAATCAGTCATGTTGAAAGCCCCTGGAAGGTGCTAGATAAAGAAAGTGTTCTGACTGTTTTCTCTTTCTCCTACCTAGATGGAACAAACTCCGGTATTTGACCGTCCTCTTGAGAAAGCGACAGAGAAGCTCATGCCAGACCAAGACATTGTTCTGCCAGAGCAAGATGTTAGTGAATGATTCTTTCTCAGTGGTTGCCGATCTCCAGGGATAAGTCAAGGCCAAACTCAGTGTATGGGTTTTCCTGGGAAGGAACTTTGCCCATAAGTTTTGTTCATTACCCAGGTATCAACAACACCAAATCAAACAAAAGCAAAACAGAAAACTCAAAACTATTTGGGTGAAAACTGAAGTGTATGTGAACACCAAGAAAGGGTAGAGAAGCATATCTAAGTTTAATCATTCCAAAGCAGCAGGGTCGACTTAGATGAAGATAAGAAGGTCTCTATTTTCACAAAAGTGGGAGCTCCTTTGTTTTCTTTTTAATTTCATTTGAATGTCAAGAGAGTTTTTTTTTAATCAGCGTAATTTATAACTCTGATGCTATGAGATTAGATCCAGGGGAAGGGATCCTCCAGCAGATATACAGCTTATTCCTATTCCTCATTGACCTTAATTGACTGGAATGCTTAAGAGAATGGGCGGGGGAGGGGGAGGAAAAGAGCCTGGCTTACTGTGCTCTTTGGATAACTGAAGACTAAGAAGAAATTTCTCTTCTTATTGCGTATTGTTCAAAATCTTTCCCAAATTATTATTGCCTCTTTTCTCATCTAAGTAAAGAGAATAGAGACAATGCAATTGAGTTGTCTTTGGTAAGTGAGAATCTTCCTGGGCCTCAGGGACATACACTGAACATGACAGTATACATGTAAGAGACACTTTCAGGATAAAAGACACAGAAGTCATAGAAGCAAGTGAGCAATTTCATTTAAGTTTTGTGCTTCCCTTCCCTTGTGACTACTCTGTCTTCAGTCCCTTATCCATGTGGCTAAAAGTGATCCTTTTCAATATTTGTTTTTACTTATATTTTCAGTTTTCTAGGTTGTATTTCTCAAGAGGTTGTTGGCAGTGGCTTGCCATTGTCACATGGACTAAAGCAGCAAGGCTTAAGACACAGGCATGTTTAAAGTGGTTAAGCAAGCTTTTCTTCCCCTTTATTATGAAAATAATCTTTTTATTAAAACCTAACCCAAACATGTAAGCCAGTAAAGAAGTTAATTCTTTTGGAACAGCCCATTTAAAAAGAAGAAATGCCTAAGATATAATTTGATACCTTTCTCACTAATTTTTCCATAATCAACTTACCTGGAATCTGAGTTTGGAGTCAAAAGCCAGCCCTAGAAGTTCTTTTTCCTTCAGTGCTGAAGCAAAGTGCCCTCGTTTGTTATCTCTCACAGCCTCAGGTGGTTTACTTACTCTGCCAACATTTTAGGAGGATGCAGGAAGACTGATGTTGGTTTCACTTTCTTGAGATGAGTTTCTTATTCCTTTTCTGGATGTTCTAGAGAAGAAGGAGACGTAAAATTTTCATAATCTACTTGTGTCAAGGACTTGGTCAAAGACTATCCTTCAAATTTTACTTCTAGATTGAGAGATGATTCCAAGCAGTGTTCCTCTTTCAGAAGAGACAGCAAAGCTCTCTGCTATGGAAATGGAGGGGTCACCGGGGCAAGGGATAGGGATTAGTGCTGAGGTACAGCACTTTATGGATTAGGATCATCCCAGACATTCTCCAGTTTTGGGCTTCCCCATGTGTAAGCCTTCAAAATGATTACCATCAAGCTCAATGGTTCTCAACCTGTGAGTATTGACCCAATGGGGTGTTGAGTAGATAATTACATTATGATTCATAATAATAGCAAAATAAATATTATGAAGTAACAATGAAAATTTTATGGTGGGGGGGTCACCACAACATGAGGAACTGTCTTTTTTTTTTTTTTTTTTTTTTTTTTTTTTTTTTGGTTTTCGA